GCTGGCACCTCAGCCCCCACTCCCGCAGCCAGCCAGCATCTGACTGCAAGCCCTTCCCTCGCCTGGGGTTCCTGTTAGGAAGCCAACTGGCCTGCAACAGCTCAGCGAACTGGAAGCTCTCATCTGGGCTTTGAAGCTGTGCCACAGCACACAGGTCAGGCGGTACTGCAGTGACGCACCTGTAAAGAAGCACGGCTAACGCCTATTTCGCTTGCCCATATTCAACAAAATTAATTTCTGAGAGTTATTAATACCATTTCTCCAAGGTTGCAACAAGCTACATAATAAAAGCGAAGCTTATCGCAGCAAAGATAGGACACAGAACTTGTAATCTGTTACTAATTAAAAGACCCACAACCATTCCAGACAAAAAAAAGAAGGAATTTCCAGCATTATGCCACGTCATCTGAACGTGACACTTCTGTGCCACCGTCAGATGCTGGAAATGCTCCCGACTTGCACACAAACTGGGGTGGGAATGTATCCAAAGGCTGACTGAAATAGATGATGCCCAAAATCTCAGGATGGCCATTCCAACAGAGCCCTCCAGCCTGCAGGGGAAGGAGTACCGCATCAAAATGACAAGGCATTTCCTAACTGCAAATGTTTCAATGCTATCGATACCTGCAGCCAAGGAGCTATGTCTACATTGGCCATCATCTCAGCGAGACAACAGGCATGAGAGTGTCCTTCACAGTAATTCTGCAGGTACAAAGGATAACGCAAAGACGACCCTTCTCAAGGATGAGGGATGTTTGCCATCCCAAGGCACCGTAACTTCAGGACACTCTTCTGACGACAACTGCTTTTAAGTGAAAGGTCTGATGCCCTGATCTCACTGTCACTCTGAATGCAAAGAACAGCAGAGAGAGCCCATTCCAGTTCTATGAGCGTAAGAATCACAAATTGAATTTGAGCACATTGAGGAGGTGCCTGCTTCACTGATTCAGAGCACAAAGCCCCAACCACCTCAGAAAATGCACCAAAACATGATGTGCACTAACACTAAAAATGACGGTCTTAGGCTGGATTTGGTACTCGGCACAGCGGGATGGCATGGGCCCGATGTGTACCTGACTGAAAGCAGGCAGGGGTACAACATTCAGCTTCCACTGGGAAGGAGCAGGGTATAATAAGGTACCAAAACATACCTTGGAGAAGTTGAGAAGCATTTCAGCCTAAAATGGGAAGATTTGTGCTGGTTAATACTGTGTGTGTAAACAAAAAAGTTAGTTGAGGTTATAACCATGCTTTAAGACCCTTCCCCACAAATCCTTCTCCCAGAAGCAAAACAATGACTTTGCAGATGAGAACCCTGCACTTCCCAGCTCTTTTTCTTTTGCATGCTTACTCCACAGGAGCATGCCCACAAACAGTGCGAAGTTCTCCTCAGTGGCATCCTTTCATTGCAGAACACAGCAATCAGGGTCACTTGTAGCTCACCACATCCTATGCTTCTGCCTTTGCATCCTCCTACCCCTGCCTACCCAAAAGGACATTCCTACCTGCCAATACAGCTGGGCAAAAAATTCACTTCTGCTTCCTATTTAACCAGATTCTTAAACTCGCAGGCGGCAAGGTGAGAGCAGCACAGGCTAGGGATATTTTTATAGGGCCATTCTCAACTACAGCATCCCTGTAGAAATTTGTTACCCTACGTGCTTTCCATGTGACATGTGTCTGAGAGTGATTTGTAAACTCTGAAGTTCACAGGAGGGGCTTATCCAAAGCAGCACTCAGAGGGAAGTACAGTTCGGAGGACAGTCCGTCTTGCTCCAGAAGACAATCTCCTCCGGCGACAGTTCAGTAGCTCAAGTCAGATACTGCACGACGAGAAACATAATTACACAAGTCAAAATCATTCCCCCAATCATGAAGTATTTATCTTGAAAGGCTCGCTTCTCAATCAGCCGCATGACTGTATTGGATAAGCCCAACATGTTGGCAACATCCAGGATCTTCTTGTGAGTACCCTAAGAATAAAAAGACAGAAAAAAACCCCAATTAATCTCATGTTCCAACACTTCTTATTCCACAGCCCAAGAATTTCATCATGGGTGACAAGTGATGAATTCCGATCAATGGAACTTGCTATCAGCCAACAGTTCCTACAATTTAAGGGGAGATGGCCACAGGACCCTGGAAATAGCTGGATGATGAGACTAATTAATTCGCACACATGAACAGGAATGTGGTGAAAGATACAAAACAATCTGTCTGGACAGAGGCATCATAAAGAGTGGCCCAAAAAAAATGCACTCCCTGTGGAGGTATTAAGAGCTTTTCTGGTCCTTTTTCAGACACACGGCCTAGTAAGAGCTTGAAGCTTCTTGATCAGGCAACCTTTCTTGCAGAACTTCCCTCCTGTTTTTTTTTTGAAGTTCATAACAGCAAGAGGTTGAAAAGGAGGTCCAGAAACTTGTAAGGCCAATGGTTGAGTGCAATGAAAAGGTATGCAAAAGTGTAATTAATGCAGTGTCAGGAAATCCTTCTGGAGAAGAGCACTGAATCACAGAATGGTTTGGGTTGGAAGGGACCTTTAAAGGCCATCTAATCCAACGCCCCTGCAGTGAGCAGGGACATCTTCAACTACATCAGGTCGCTTAGAGCTCCATCCAGCCTAACCTTGAAGTTTTCTAGGGATGGGGCATCTGCCACCTCTCTGGGCAACTTGTTCCAGTGTTTCACCACCCTCATTGTAAAAAATTTCTACCTTATATCTAGTCTGAATCTACATTCCTTCAGTTTAAAACCATCACTCCTTGTCCTTTTACTACAGGCCCTGCTAAAAACCCTGACCCCAGGGAACAAAGACTGCTGGCCAGTGTACTGCAGGATGGCCCACACCTCAGTTCTGTTTCACTGCTGAAGCAGCTGGCATTATTAACAACGTGGACCCCACCAGATACCACATCAGCAGTAAGCGCATAACCGATAAACACAGTGAGCAGCAGAGCTGGAGGTACCAGGAAGTCACCCGGGGAGTCACTACTGCAGTGCAGCCGGAATACTCCTACTGTATTTCAGGGCAACGGTCAAAGAACACCTTAAGAAATACAGGCACGTAGTTGTACTCTGGGCACAGTTCAGAGCTGGATGTCATCTCCTCTGGGAAGAAATGAGAGAACTCCTGGCTGCAGAGTCACAATGGTGCTGGCAGGTGAGAAGCATCCTTTTAGGTAAGCTAGACAAACGGGAGCAAACCGACAGGCAGGCGCAGCACCACAGCTCAGCTCACAGCGCGCAGAGAGACACTGGCCAGGACCAACCTCCACTGCACCTACACGTGCACAGTGATGATAATGGACCTCCTCTCTCAAACTGACTTCTTGGTCCAAGTCCTTAACAGAACACCCTGCTTCAGAAAGCTGTTAAGACTTAATTTACTTCTCTGAGCAAGGTCAACAGCACAGATTCCCATCACAGTGCTTTACCACGCTTTAAAATAAAAACTCTGTTTCTATTCTCACAGTCCACTTATCTTTGGTCTCAAAAGAATAAAAAGGTGAAATTTGGGAACCATTTTGAATATCAACCTGACTTAAGACCAGAAAAGCTCTCTGAGGACAGAATTTGTATCAACTATATTAGATACAGATATCTCTGGAGCAATCTTTTCACACTACTTCAGAACAAAAGAAAACCTTGCTTGGAGAAGAGAAACTGAAAATGAAGCTTTAAAATGAAAGCAAACAATGGGAAAGTGAAGACTTCAATTCTTGCAGTCCATGGGACAGGGGAATAGTACAAACAGAACAGTTAAAGCCTTGCAGCAGCTAGGGAATACTTGGCTCATACCTGTCTATTTATATCCTATACTTACACAGATTAACATGCTTCCAAATTAACCCATTTATCTTGATGAGCTGTCTCTATGCTAGCTGCTTCTGCCAGATTTGTAAACATGCAACGAAGTCTTTGACAGTGTAAGAAAAAACCTTTAAGATCATCAAGCCCAACTGTTCCCCTAACCCTGCCATCCCACCACTAAACCCTGGCCCTAAGCACCTCGTCTGCCCAGATTTTAAATCTCTCCAGGGATGGGGACTCGACCCCTTCCCTGGGCAGCCCCTTCCAGTGCCTGACAGCCCTTAACGGGGAAGAAATTTTTCCCAATGTCAAACCTAAACCTGCCCTGGCACAACTTGAGGCCATTTCCCCTCATCCCATCACCCGTTCCCTGGGAGCAGAGCCCAACCACCCCCCACCCCGGCTCCCCAATCCTGTCAGGCAGCTATAGAGAGCAATAAGGTCTCCCTTCAGCCTCCTCTTCTCCAGGATGAACACCCCCAGCTCACCCAGCCACTCCCCAGCAGCCTTGGGCTCCCGACCCCTCCCCAGCTGCTCCTGCTGGCCACACCATTCCTGATACAAGCCAGGATGCTGTTGGCCCTCTTGGCCACCTGGGCACACTTCTGGCTCGTATTCAGCTGCCTGTCGACCAACACCCCCAGGTCCTTTTACGCTGGGCAGCTTTCCAGCCACTCTTCCCCACGCCTGTAGCGTTGCATGGGGTTGTTGTGTCCCCAGTGCAGGACCTGGCCCTTGGCCTTGTTGAACCTCACACCATTGGCCTGGGCCCATGGATCCAGCCTGGCCAGGTGCCTCTGCAGAGCCCTCCTCCCCTCCAGCAGATTGACACTCCTGCCCAGTTTGGTGTCATCTGCAAACTGACTGAGTGTCCCCTTGATCCCCTCATCCAGATCACTGATAAAGAATCCAGATAATTGATAAAATATTAAACAGAACTGGGGGACACCGCTTGTGACTGGCCGCCAACTGGATTTAACTCCGTTGACCACAACTCTCTGGGCTCGGCCATCCAGCCACATTTTTACCCAGTGAAGAATATGCCTGTCTAAACCAGAGCCGCCAGCTTCTCTAGGAGAATGCTATGGGGGACAGTGCCAAAGGCCTTGCTGAAGTCCAGGTAGAGAACATCCACAGCTTTTCCCTCATCCACTGGGCGGGTCACCTGGTCATAGCAGATCAGGTTCGTCAGGCAGGACCTGCCTTTCATGAGCCCATGCTGGCTGGGCCTGATCCCCTGGTTGTCCTGCCCATGGCTGGTGAGCGCACTCAACTCTGCCTGATGAAGACGCCCGGTTCTGGTAACTGAGGACACAGGTACCATAGGTACTAAAAGTTGCTCCAGCAAAATGCCTGTGCACTTCAAGGGCGAGACCCAGGCGTGGGTACAGTTCAGGTCTCTATATGCAAGCACACCAAGCTGCCTTCACAGCCAGTAAGACCCTGGTCTGCACAATCCATGGAGCTTGAGGGGTGATTCATCTGACCAAATACATCGATTTATGTCAGCAATTAAACACACCTAAATCCCCTGGCAGGTACATCCCCAAACAAAGCATATCACAAAGCAGACAACAATAGTTATCATCAGAAGATGAATACAACAGAGAGAGGAATTTCCCGTTTTTCCGAAATCCAGCTTTCCCCTCAGCACACACTTCTTATGAAAAAGCTTTTTGTATCTTTCAGCTATTTGCTCAAAATTTAACACCACTTTGAAAAGTGTTTAAAATAAAAGACAAATATTTGTTCTGAAGAGACATGGAGAAATACAGCTGTCATTATCAGTATTCAGGGAAAGACATTGCTGAGGTGCATTAGACCTGGGAGAGTGTTATCTTTATTACTAATCTTAAACACAGGTACTTTATGCCAGCTTTGTGGTTGCTCCGACTGATTTACATCTGAATCAAGTCTATCTGCAAGCTAGCCATTACTTCCCATTCTTCACTTGAACAAAAAAAACCATAACAAAAAAAAAACCCCATAACGGAATATAAGGTAACATTCAGCACTCCAGGTACTAACTGCTGTGCAGGTGAAGACTGCTCAGCCGTCCGGCCACAAAAAGAGCTTAAAGGTGTTCTTAGTAAGATCATAAAGATTTCAGGTTTAGTTAAAATGGAGTTTGGGCCTTTCCCAGCATTCTCAGGTTGAAGCAAGGTACTGAAACAAACTCATGTATCGATTTTACTTAGCCTGGTCATCACAAATGCAGAAAAACGTGGGGTCTTTTTGGTAAAAAATGATGCCCCCACCTTTAATGTCACTCTCTGGTCCCTCAGCCCCTGAAGGATGTTGGTCCCACTGCCAATAAGATCATCCATGCCACGATGGGCATTCTGGAGGGATTCATTAAACTGTAATGTTTCGTCGATCGGTATGGTGGTGTCAGAGTCCTGTAGGGGAAATGCAGGGTCTTGGTTACCTTGCCTGCTCACTCATAGATAGATCCAGAAAAAGAACATGCAGAAATAAATGTGGCAAAAACTTGACAGGACTTGAAGGATTATGTTTTAAATATTTTTTTTCATAGGGATATTAAATACAACATTAATATCTGAGTGAAAAAAGTAATTTAGAGAAGGCTAGAGGAAGCAAGCCAAGAGGCAAAGCTGATCGGCTGTTCAACTGCAATTAGATCTCAAAGAATAAAAAATCAGATTAAAAGTGGAGCGTTTTTTATAATCTCTGTTTATGATACAGGTAGGAAAGGGTATTACAAGAGAGAACATCAAAACTAACAGGAGGTGTTTAACAAGGAGTCATTTGATCATTGCAAGTGAAAGACTTTTCGAAGATTTAATATCACACTTCTAAGCGACAGAAGGCCCACAATACACGATGTCTGGGAGATGACATTCTATAAATTCCTATTTACAACACAGTGCAAATTTCTGATAGTTAGGGCAAACAGAAGTGAACCCAGCTCACTGAAGGTCTGACTCACTCAACACCCAAGGCCTTATCTAGAAAAAAAAAAATAAAAAATCAGTTGTTTTCCAGAAAAGCTAGCTCAGCTAGAAACTACGAATCTTGAAATGGAAATAACTGGATAAAATTCTGTAACCTGGGTTGCACAAGAGGTCAGGGAAGCGATCACTGCTGTCCTTCAAAGGCTTCCAGTTTAATCTTCTCTGGGCACCACCAAGAGTGCCAAGGTAGCAGCACATCACTCTCGCAGTGTTTTACTAACAGGAATCATGACACTGGTATGAGGTAAGTGTGGAAGCACTGGCTTACCTGCTTCCATGTACTCAGAGTGGCAAGAACTACTAAAATGCAGAATTCGTGTTTAGGGCAGAAGATAGTTAATACCCTAATTTGACTGCCAGCTGTAGGTTACATGCAGGTAGCAACACCAAACGTGCTCTGAGTAGACTCTGGTGATTATTGTAAAAGAAGTGTTAATAAGGGAACAACATGTATGACCCCATGTTAGGTGCTGCACCACCTAGGTGGGTGTCCTGTTTAGTGTAAAAGAATGAAGATAAAGGACAGAGCTGTTAGCAGTTGCAGGAGCAAAGTGCTTGGATGAAGAAGCCACCACAGCGTAAGCATCTCTCTCATCAGATGTTAATGAAGCACTGAGTGTGAATTAAGTGTCTTAGGAGAGTCTGCAGAGCAGAAGCACATGGATTTGCATCCGAACGGCTATGTTTTCATATATTTATTAAAGCTTCAAATCAGTGGGGACTCCATTTCCTACACAAAGAGCTTGCTGGGTTTTTTTTTTAATACAGCAAGAAAAATATCGAATTAGATTTTTGACCCTCCTCATAGAAAGGCTAGATGGCATCATATTTTTCATTTGCTGTGAGCAGTTTTCTCCAAAATGGTACAAGGGAAGGCTTTAAAGATAAAGACCACATTTATCTTCGAATTAAGCAAAATGTTCCGAACTGCTGCAGCTTTCAAAAGCTGTTATGTATGTAGCAGTGATTCACTCAGGATGCTTGCATGCTCAGCTGACGTTTCTATTTAATAGAATAGGGTAGTACATAAATAGAAACTAGGTAAACAGGCCAATAGCTGACAAATAAATCATCACTTTCCTATTAAAGGGACACTTTAATATTTTTGTAATGGGTTAAAAGAAATACAAAATAATCAGGCTTTTTTTTTCCATCTTGAGACACTTTTCAGCATCTAAAGGAGAAAAAAATAACTCGCCATTTACTTTGCACTTGCAAGCCAACAAAATGCTAGGTGTCATCTTTATGGCAGGCTTTGAGAAGTGCATCGACTTCCCAAATCTCAATAAAATAGGACCACTCTCATTCATTCTTCCCTGCCCTAACAGGGAATGACAACACAGAAAATGAATGGTAGGTTATATGCCTTTAACAAAAAACAAACAAACAAAAAAACACCCCCAAACCCAAAAAAACCAACAAAAAATAAAAAAACCAAAACACCAAACAAAAAAAACCCCAACCTCCATCCCCCCCGCCAAAAGACCAGCTTTTGAGTTACAAAAAAGTGAAAACTGAAAGCAAACCTACACTATTCAGAGCAAAATTCCTCTATGAATTTGCACTGGGGGAACTTTCCAGTGGAGGAACTAAAAATCATAGAATCATAGAATGTTTGGGGTTGGAAGGGATCCCTAGAGATTTTCTAGTCCAACCCCCCTGAAGTGAGCAGGGATGCCTTTAACCAGATCAGGTAGCTCAGAGTCCCATCCAACCTGGCCTTGAAAGTTTCCAGGGATGGGGCCTCCACCACCTCTCTGGGCAACCTGTTCCAGTGTTTCACCACCCTCATTGTGGTGAAAAAATTAACAAAAACAGGTGGAAACACACTGTTGTCATTAAAAAGTTTTGAATCATTTGCAGGTAAAAAGCAAGGTTTTTCTCCCCAGCTGTGTGATTTGTATTTGGATAAATTAAAGCTTGCTGACATCTACTGACAGGAGGGTGTATAAAAGCCAGGCATGTTACAAATCTCAGGATTTGACAAAGACATCTGACGCAAATCCAAGTAAAATGTATACTTTGGTACCTACCTCATTCACCCTTTTGGAACTGCTATATAAAGTCAGGTAGAACTGTACTGGAAAAAACAAGAGCAGCAGTTTCTGGAGTCTTTTACTACTGCCTCTTAATAGACGAACTTTTCCTCATGAGAAACTTGTACTTTTTCAACACACGTTGCTATTCTTTTCCGTCTTTATTCCATTTACACCTCACAGCAGCAATCTAATGGTCATGCCTATGTCTTGCCTGAAACTTCTCTGACAGACTACGGCTTCTAGAACACAGAGATGTAAAATAAAGAATACTTACATTAGTAGTGAATGTCCGTGCAAGCAACTCTTCTCGCTGTCGCTCCTGCTGCTCCCGGATGTAACGGCGCTGTTGGAAGTTTCTCAGAGCTGTCTGCAGATGCTGAACGTCATACTTCAGCTGGTCAACTCGACTAGAAATGATCAACAACAGGAAGACATTCCCAGGGATAAAAATACCATTGTTTTCTGGTGGGTTTTATACGAACAATGGAGCATTATAAGTTAACAGTGACGAACGATAAAGAATGATGGCTTCTACTTATCTACAAGATAAAGGACTATAGAAGATACCAGATTTAGATCTTCTGTGCCTCCTTTTTCTAATAAACAAGTGAACTGGAGGCTGATGACAAAATATGAAGCAGAATTCTTGAGCTGCCTTGGACATCCTATCCCATGACTACTCTCTTCAGGAGTTATAAATATATTCCTCATTTAACACAGATTTGGAAAGACGGTAGGATTTGAACAGTTCCTATTTTACGACCTTCATGCACATAAAAGATTAAGCTTTCAAGTTTCACTGATTACCACTGTGTTCTTAAATTTGAGTTTTTATTAAAAGGAGTTTAAAAGTCAGTGGGCAATACAGGAGACATCTCCATTGGGTAAAACAAATAACATCCAAATAATTGTCTCTGATTAAATGTTTGATGACTATAAAGAAAGCCTAGATGACTATTTCAGATACTGACATCTCTAATACAGGTGACATGATATCCAACTCTGATATCTACAAAGGCATTTTGGGACTAAACATTAACAGTAGAGTCACAGAATAAATTAGACCAGAAAGTCTTGAGGTCTTGAGGTCCAACCTCCTGCCCAAACCAGTGCTAACTTTAGAAACCTCCTTCTTTTAGTCACCAACAGTGAGGAAAATGGTCCAGAGAAAATGACACCAATTGAAATAATTTTGCTCCTTACCTCCAAAAATGCCATTAAAAGCAAACGCCATATAGAGTAGAAATTTTTTTAAGCATCAAAATGGCATGTTCTGCTCATCTCAGAACAGAGCCATGAATCCAGTTCCATCACCAGTCTGTGGTTAAATGCAGGAAAGTGATTTTGCCTCTGTGCCCCAATTTTGCTACTGCAGAGCACAGTCATAAGTTATGCAAACTGTAAAGCTGGCACTCAAATCAAAAGGCAAAGGGCTTCAATAAATTTAATAGAAATAATTACAAAGACTACGCCCCACTATCATAGCAAAGAAGGTCAACTTACAGTTTAGCATTCTGTCGCTTATTGGGAGGTTCTTTGCTGGACAGTATTTCCAGACGCTCCAAGTTGCTGAATATATTGTCTATTCTTGCCTGAATCTCATTTTCTACTACTGCAAGGAAATAAAAAAGCAATTTGCATTAAAGAACTGCAATCTGAGTGAAGGTAAAAGCTCAAACCATTCAAACCAGTATTTAAAACCTGGCAGATGCAAATCCTTACTGGATGAAAAAAAATCATGTAACTGAGAACTACACATACCATGAAAAGCCGCTTCTTTAACTCAGTAACTTGAGACTCTTGCCTTTGCCTCCTCCTCTGAGAAGGGAGCTAGGAAAGCCCCTGCTCTTTCAAGATATCTGAGCCCCTTTCCCTATCAGCTCCACGTGTTAGGATTTAAAGCTCCCACATTCCCCCCTGCAGCCCCTTCCTGCTCCCTTGGCAGGATTCGCTCACACAAGCTCATAGCCAAGATGATTCTCACCTCATTTAAACCTCCAAAAACTGTTAACACAGAGTTAATATACAACATCCATACCTATAGCAGGGGAGATTGACTGACAGCACCGGAAGGATTCAGAGTTGATAGGAAATGGCAGGCTGGCCAAACAACTCAGAAAGACATGGCCAAAATGGGGCTGAAGCCCTTGCAAGTGGGAAAACAAGGCCACAAAATAATTGCCTCTGTAACCATCTATGTTGCAACTGCTTAAGATAATCTGCATAGAAATAGCAGAGGGGCAATAGTATGCAACACAAACTCATGTACTTAAATGAGGGGGAAAAATTATACAACTGGGGAAAAAAAAAAGCCATATGTTTTCATTACTGTAGTCATTGTACAGAAAACTCGGCACAAGCCACAACCCCCTTCCTCATTTGACAACCGCATTTTCTAACCATGTCACAATCCAGCACTTCACAACGTAAAGAATTGCATGGACGGGCGAAAGACAGGAGCACTACTAATCATTTGCCATTATTGTGTTTTAAAGAAGGTGAGCTGTAAGGCTGAAGGAACGCACCCTCCAGAGCATGGCCACAGGCTGATAGAGGACAGAAACACCATCACGTCTGTGCAGCCATGAGGACAGTCCTGAACTCTCAGACTGCCATGGGCAGACCTGATGGAAATAATCACCAAATCCTACAGACACCATGTGTTCTTGTTTTGCCAGTTAGACTAAAGAGGTCTACAGAAAAGTGTTACTAATCCCTGCTAACTGCTCCACAGTGCCTCAGGACTTCCCAGAAAATCGCATCCAGCAGAACCCAGAAAAGCAAACAGCGCATACAATGCCTTTTCTTTGCCCTTTGATCTCACACAATCAAAGAGTAACTAACTCACATATATAGACACATCAATCAAAATGCCCTTCATCTCTCCATCATTTAGTACAGCTCAACACAGAAGCAACCAGGAGAGCAGACAATTACATCAGTAAGAATTACTATCTTGGTCATCTTACATTTTTCTGAGCAAGAAGGGATTATTTGGCCAAAAGTTGGAGGAGAGGTGCAACAGGAAGTTTGATTTCCTGGCTCTTATTTCCTACTCTTCAGCCAAAAGATAATAATTTTCCCAAAAATTCTTAAATATGCACTAATATCTAGAGCACATACCTGTATCTTTACATATATATATATATATATAAAGAAAACCAGTATGTTCATTTATTGATCTTGTAAGATGGTGCATAATCCTCTCTCTTGAAACGGTCTCAAATACTAGAGTCAAATTATGCTGATTTTCAAGGGGCTCCAAAATCACATCCAGTGAACAGCACCCCAGGAAGCCTAGGCACTGTACTAGGAGTAGTACAACCACCACAAAAATCAGAACCAGCTGACAAGTCGTTCTTTTTTGACAGGAAAATTTATCACAGCCCATTCTACAGAAAAGTCATGCCTCACAAATATGTTCAGGGTAAGAGACGTCAGTCAACATGTGCATAAATATCCCGTCAATGCAGTGTGCTTTCACTTCAGAAGTTTCTGATGAGGCCCACCAGCAATACCCATACAGGAATTAAGGCTTGAAACACAGGTCCAAAATACATTTGCCAATTCTTCACTGGGGTAAAAAGTCCTGCCACAATACATCACAGTATTTTATTACAGTCATTTTATTAGCACAGGGTTATAGTCCAAATTGACTGAAGCCATTTCAAACCTAGCTGTTCTACATATTTTTCATAAGCAGATGCAATTAGAGGTTCTGGCTCTGAGGCAAGCAGGAACTATCAGAAGTTAAAATTAATTAATTAACTGCTTAAATTCCCACACACCAAATCACAGCATTTTCCCCAGAAACTGTACTAAGCCTCTTCTGGAGAACACTGCCAATTAGCGGATGCTTAAGGAACAGCAAAATAACAGGACAGGTATACAATGACATTTCTCAGCTTCTGAGCTTCTAACAAACCAGCCCAGTGATCTCCTGAATTTGCAGTTCTGTCCACATCAATATGTTCATTGTACCTCCATGAATGCATCAATGTGGGTGTTTTTAACTGGTTTAGGTAGAAGGCTTCCACAGCCTGACAACGAGCTCCAAAATCTAACAGCACCAAAAAGTATCTGGCATTCCCATATCAAGACATTGTAGAAGCATCCACGGTAAGCACTCTTTGCCAACTAAAGAATCACAAGGAAAATGATTTGAAGTAAATTCTTGTTCTGCCTTTTCCGCTCCATCCTTCATACAAAACATCACCTTATTGAAGTCAAACAGTCAAATTATTTTTAATGTTAATGCATTCCAAATCAGTGATCTGTCTCACCAGCTGATCACAATGACTGACGAGCCAAATTTGTTCCAATAACGACTGTAAATGCAATGATAAAGCATACAAGGTTAAAGATGCAACCTAAATCAAATCAGAACTGGAGTGGGACTTTTCTCACTAATTACATACTTACAGTGCACTGACTCTTTGTCTGAAGTCTCAAGGCGCCCCATGTAAGATTGGACCTCATGGACTTGCCTATCAAAAGACAAAGAGTAAATTAACCGAAGTCAGTCAACAGCTATAAAATCAAATCATTTTTCAATACCTCAATTTTCAGCTTCTTTTACTTAAAAAAGTACTGTTAAGAGCAGAATAGGCATCAGCTACATGGTATTCAGTGCAGACAGCCCGTCACTGAACCTAAAAAAAACCCCAATTCTTCAGTACGAAGAAAGCTTTCGCTCAATATGCATCTACAAAATAACTTTCAGTTCAAAAACAAGAATCAAGGTGGAAGGGCTTTTTTTTCTTCAAGGATTTCCAATCCAGTTCTAGCTCCCTTTTCGTATTTATAACCCAAACTGGGGCTCTCCCTGTGCCGCACAGCTGGCACACTGGAGCCACTGAGATACTCCAAGACAACCATGGAGACAAGACTTCAGCTTTAGACCACAAGCGGTGAGCACAGCAGAGGGAAGCTCTGACTGGGAGAAGAGTTGGTACAAGTGAGACCTTAATAACAGATCTGCAGTGAAGCACTACCTACGAATGCCATGATGCTGATGAGGCACCATGCCTTTATGTCACTGCATAAATGGGTAGTACACATCTTCAACACTAAACACTGGTTTTGTCCCTCCCTTCTCAAAAAGAAAACAGAAGCACTGGCAAAGGTTCAGAGAAGGACAATGAAGATCATGAGAAGTACGGAGTGGCTTTTACACATAATGGGGAGATACCCCAGAGCACAAATTGCACAGAAGGTGAATAAGGAATGACTTCCACTTTTACAACGTACGAGTTACAGAGGCATCAAATGAAATTAAAAGATGGCTTAAAACTGAAGAGAAGGAATTCCCAATGCTAGACAAGCGGTGGCAAACAAACAAACAAACAAAAATTCAAATGCTGATGGGGTTGTTAAATTCCTCTGTTTTAAGAAGCCCCCAAGCCTCAAATTTCTGGGAAGTTAGGAGAATATTCGACGGAAGTATCACATATGTTTGCCCATTTCTTACTGTCTGTCCTAGAGATCTGCAGTTAGACAATGCTGAACATAGAATCAGAATCGTTTAGGTTGGAAAAGACCTTTAAGATCATCAAGTCCAACTGTTAAAACATACACTGGGACAGACGGACCTTCAGTCATACTCAGTGTGAACATTCTCACAGCAGCTGGGATTCGGACGTTAAGAAATACACTTTAAACGTTACAAAAATATCACGATCTTTTTCAAAAAAATATTTAAGAGGTCATCATTTTGGTTACAACAGTGACTCTTTTTCTGGTATATGTACTGTTTGATAACTATGCACAAATGCTTATGAAGCCAGACCTCTGAAACAAACTTACATTACAGAGTAATAAAATATTCATTATTGAGTTATTATATGAGATTTTAAAATAACTATCAGGGCTGCCTTCCACATCATGACACTGTGCTGCTAAAGAGACAACCAATCATGTCATAAGTACCTTATTACTTGGCATTATCTACAGAACCAATTCAATATCCAGTATCTTGCAACCCATACCTGTTCTACAGTTTTGTTTTCCATCAGATTCTCTGGGATGCCCCAGACAGCTTGAGACTTTCCCACTGCTTAAAATGGTTTTAAAATGCCTGTTCAGAAACCAAGGTGTAGGAGCCAAATCAGAATATGGGCAACTGGATCAGAAAAACTACTTCACACTCACCAGGATTCTTCCCATGACAGAAAATACAGTAAGTCTGGGGAAAAGGTGGAGAAAGAGTTCAAAAATGCAGAGTATGCCCAGACTGACAACAAACTACAACAAAAACACAGCTCGGTGACTACGATGCCCAGAGAATCCCTGGAAGTGTTCAAGGCCAGGTTGGACGGGGATTTGAGCAACCTGATCCAGGCCCCCATGGCAGAGGGGTTGGACTGGATGATGATTCCAGGTCCCTTCTGACCCAAAGCATCCTGTGATCACAGAATAAGGCAATATGGAAAGAGGAACAAGACAAGATTATTTCCCTTATCAATAACAGTTACTATTAAGGGTATGCATTACTAGATCCACAGCAGGATTTCCCACTCTTCCCTACAAGGTCACTCTATATCATTATTTAATGAAACTCTCATACTTACCATGCTCATTCAACAGAGCTCAATGAAGAAACCCATCCCCACTGAAAGTGGGAATATTTGGATCAACTGCCTCCTTTGGCTCTTCCCCACAAGCTCTCCCACATCACACAGAGCCACAAGATTTTTTTTACCTTATTCTGCAATTTTCATACCACTTCTACCTCACCAGATCACCATTATCTGTGAAACAGTGTTTCGTATCATCAAGGAGGCATACATGATCGTGAAACCCGACTGTCATAGAAATCCTACTGAATTAGTACGCCCTAAATGTATGTACACCTGGTAAAACAGAACCCCTTGGGTTTACTGGACACTTGCACTCCTGTGCCTTAAACCCCCAGCCGAGCCGGCTGGGCTTGCTTTCGGGCTGACGTGGCTCCCAGCAGGCTGGGGCTCCGGACAGACAGACGGCCAGCCGGGACGGCCAGGCTTTTGCCTCCTTCCGCGGCTCAAACAGTCCTCATGGCTAGAAGGTGAGAACTGGTACCAGAGAAAAAACTTCTGAAGGGCGCTGGGCCGCAGGCAGGGCATCCGCCCTCAAACCCTGCCCCTGCCCCTGCCCCTG